TAACACCACAAAAAAACCAAAAAAAAAATTGATTTTACCACCGGCCCCAGCCCGCCAGCACCCAAAAAAAAAATTGATTTTACCACGTGTGGTTTTTCTTTTTTTCAATTTTTTTTATTTATAAGATAATTGACACGTGTGGTTTTTTTGGATTATAATAAATAAAAAAAATTGAAAAAAAGAAAAACCCTAAAATGCTAACCTAGCCCCAGCCCGCCAGCACCCCCCCCACCGGCTCTGGTCCCTCCCCGTCATCCATTCCCGCCTTGAGCCGCTGACATCATTGACGATAGTCCGAACCGGTCCCATCGCCGTCACTTGACCCTCAACCGCCAAAACCGTTGTTGAAGCCCATGACCCCAACCTAAACCAGCCGAAACCCCAGCCCACACCGTCGCCGAACCACCATAACCCCAACCTAAACCAGCCGAAACAACAACATCACACCCACAACCGTTGTCGAACTTGTCTCCTTTACCCAAACCGTCGCGAAACCGTCGAAACCCCAACTCACACCCATACTTGCACCCGAAAGCCGAATCGATTTTTGGGCGGCAGATTTCGTGGTGGATGATGCGCTTATCCGTGGATTTGAGGCATGGGTTTAGGGTGGTTGTCGTCGGTTTTGAGGGTGGTAACGCCCGATTTCGTTGGTTTTAGTGGGACATAGGGAAGCTAGCGGCTAGTGGTTGGCCGAAATTTGTTGGTTTTAGCGGCGGCTGGGACCGGGCTGCCGGTGGAAGGCTGGCTGGGTTACGGTTGTATTTTTATTTTATTTTATTTTATTTTTTTAATTTTAAAACCAATACTTAATTGAGACGTGTCTATAGTGGTCCCACTAACGAATTCCATCCAAAAATCCGTTAGTAGGTGGTAAAATCAAATTTATGGGTTTTTTTTTTGTGGTGTTATAATAAAAATTTCAAAACTTGTGGTGTTATAATCAAATTTATGTGATTTTTGTGGTGTTATTTTCTAAAAATCCTAATAATAATAAAAAAATATTGTTACTTTACACAAGTTTTTATTTACTGCATAAGTTTATTATAAAATATTATGTATACTACTTTATTGACTTATTTTTCTTTAATTTTTTTTTAAAAAAATCAGTATTAAAATATATGTATAGTAATTTATTTTATGAAAAAATTATGGATATTGGTACAAGGTGGGTACAAACTACAAAGTGGGGGGACTCGAGAGAACGGGGCGAGTATGATGTGGGATTAGGTGCGGGTACAGTCTAAAATTCACCTTGCCCCATCACTTATGACGAGTATAGTGTAATAACACCCGTTAAACCAAGACCTAGGGCGGATCTCCTAGTTGACCCTATGGCCTAATGGCTTGTAATTTTCTAATCCTGACCGTAAGATTTTCAATTTTGAGACTGAGATATCTTTACACCGCGTGAAGGAAGTACAAATGGAGGGTTGTGAGACAAATGTTAATGTCTCACAACCATTAAAATAACATAAAAGTAAAAAAAAGAGAGAGAAAGGAGGAGAGAGATAGGAAGAGTGAAAAATGTGGTGTGGGCCCCATAAAAAATTTTGAGAAATGGTTTCACGTGCAAAAACGACAAAAAAAAACTGGGACCACAACTACTGAGAGTATATTTTGTACCACTGAGGATTTTTATAAGTACCACTGAACCGCATTGAGTACCACTGGGAGTGTATTTTGTACCATTGAGCTGTAATAGTGTTATTTGACAGTCTAATTAGACATTTGAACCTTTTTTTAAATACCACTAAAATTATATTTTGTACCACTAAAAGTGTATTTTGTTCCACTGAATCTAAAAGGGCAAAATTTAAATCCCGCATAAAATGACCAATTTACCCCTGCGAGATACTTCTCTCAACCCTTCGTTTATATAACCTCCAATAAAATGATAAAGTCAAAATAAGTAGTACTTGGTAAAGTTGAATACATTATAACTAGTTAAAGACTTAAAGGTCGTACTCAATGTAAATCTGAATTGGACAACGCCGCTCAGGAGTCAGTCCTGCCTCGTTCATGCTGTTCTGCTCAGAAAATATGGAGAGCTCAAAAAAAAAAAAAAAACAAAAAAAAACACATACAGAGTGATGCTAGGAAATTTGTACAGATCCATCTTCTTGGATGGAGAGGAGAGCTCCATATCTGCAAAGTCAGCTTTTTTAATTTTATTTCTTCATCATTTATGTTAAACTTGTTTGATTGATTCAATTTGTGATATAATTTAATTTTAAGATAAATATTGAGGATGATTGGTGGCTATTGTTTTGAGTAGTGTGAAATTCAATTATTGATGATGAAGGAAATTAAAGCGTTTGAGCCGGGACTTGTTGCTAAGGCTAATAGAGGAATACTATGTGTTGCTAAGGCTATGCAACTAAACTATTGTTGAAATCCAAGGAAATTAATCCATGAATCTATTGCATTTCTTAGGCATGTTCAGCATCATATTAATAAGGTAAAGCATGTACTGCATATTGGTAATGGTTCCTTTATAGACAAAGAACGAATACAAATGTAGGAGTGAAGTGGCCATCGCTGATCAGAGGAGGAAGAATGGGGGAACATTGCTCACAGATCGATTGTGTCCAAGATTACTTGTGACTAGAGGTGGTTATTGGACAGGGTAGCCCAATGATAATAGGGTCGGGGCTAAACTTATAGGGCTGAGATTACAAGTTGTGACTGTGAATACTTGTCTCAGTTAGTAGTGTTCATAGTCACAAGTATTCTAGGACTGAGATTAAACAACGTAAATGGGCTGAATATCGATCCCAAATTGCTCTTGTAAGTTGGAATTCTAACTTGATATTGGCTTCTCTGCTAATAAGTCATTTATTTCATTTCTTTTTTTCATGCTACATGCTCCATGCTAACATTTTTTTTACTGCATAGAGGTATGAGTACAGATAGAATTTTCTGGTTTACAGAACTACATGCTTGTTTTGGTTTTCAATTTACACATGTAACATTGGAAATGAATGAGGGTACATCACCATGTGCCTATGTGGTGAATTTCAAAACCTTTTTTACAGGGGTCATTAACTCTGGTCTTTTCAATAGGAAATTTCCTTAGCTTGTTTTTGGCTGCACCTTCTGGTTTGCTAACAGGGATGATTTCCAGTGGTTTATTGGGAAATAGGCAAGATAATTGGTAGAGGAAGGGTTGGATTTGAAAAAGGTTTACTGTTTTCCTGTTTTGGTAAAGCTCAGATCCAAATACTTGACTAGTATCAATAGGCTGTGTCAAAGGGTCCAAACACAATTCTTGCTGCACTTGTTTGTTTTTGTATGTAAGTGACAATGAGAGCAAAATATTGAGTTGAGGGGCTGTATTCCTGTACCTGTGTCATTGGTTTGGGTGATTTTAATTTTTGGCCATTTCAAAGGGCAAAATATAATAATCATTGCTCTTTACAACTTGGTATGTTAATATGAACAAGTTTCTTATGTGGAATATGTGTACCTGACCCCTCTTCCTCTTTTTTACATCCAGAGACTCCAGAGAGTAAAAAAAAATAGACATACAGGCATCAGGAGGAACTTCTTTTCCTATTCTGTCATATTGTCAAACTATGCAAGAAATAGCTTCGTTTGTGTCTTTTCTGAAATCTTGAAGAAATACTGATGTTTTAAATATCATCCTGGTCAACCACATTGGTGTATAGATATATATTAATCTGGCCTTTTATTTTCCTTTTCTCTTTCAAAGAAGCTGAGAAGTGCTTACTTGTTTTTTGGTTGCATCCAGAGAGATGAGAGAATGTAGAATCATGTCTTTAATTCAAACCTGAAGGATCAGACCCCACTATCACTAAGCATATTGAGAAATATTTTGTAGGCCTGGAGCAATTAAGTCATGCACATTAAGTGCAGAACAAGATATTCATCTAAGTGCTGCATCTCCCTTATCTGATGACTTATACCAATTCATTAAACGCCTACTCCTCTCGAAAGTTTACATATTTTTTAGAAGTTTGTACATCATATCTTGATGCTAGATAGATCTATGCTATAAGATTTGGGCACACTGCTGATTTGTTGAAGCATCTTGTTATCGGCCTTATGGTGTAGTTCATATAGTAACCTGGCATGAGGTTCAGTTAGTTTTAGTGATTAATAATATCTTGGTAAATTCAGCATCATTTTTTGGGGTCTTTTGGCTAGGTAACTATGAGACTAAGTGGGCGAGACACTAAGAATTTTGATTGTGGTATAAGTAGAAGCTTGTGAAGCTACATGACGTTAATATCCTTTCGGTAGAAAATTGTGGGCAAAGTTAGCCATTGTATAGATCGAGTTTAGGGTATCTTCACTTGGCAGAAGTTTAAGATGCTATTGCTATTTGTTGGTTTCTTACTAATTTTTATGCATCCATGCATTAGTTGCTTTCACTGATTCTCAATACTAGTAGATGCTACTGTTTTGCTCATTTAATTTTGAATCCATTTTTAAAATCAAGCACCCATGTAGTCTTTTTTTTTTTTTTTTTTTTTTTTTTATTATTATTATGATTATTATTATTATTATTATTATTATTTTTTTTTTTTATCATACTTGTATTAACCAAATATGGGCACTCTAGTGTATTACTTCACCAATTTCATATTGATGTTTGGTAAAAAACACAAGTATTACTGAAGAGGTCTTTCTGATCATACTTGGTGTTTAAATCCATATTTGGACCAATTTGGTCTTGTTGAAGACTCTAGATTATCCATATATGGTTTGTTTTGCATATTCAAAGACTTTCATATTATATTAAGCTTATATACTTTTGTATCCTGTAAATTACATGGAAGTAGTTTCCGTAAAAATAAAGGGGCACTTGACATTCAAAAGAAATGCCAAGTATCTAGGGTGAATTTAATTGGCTTTATGTTCAAGTATATAATTTTTTTTTTCAAGTATATAATTAGATTAGGCTATACCTTTTTTTTATTTATTTTTATTTATTTTTTTATTTTTATTATATATATATATATATATATATATATTTTTTTTTTTTTGAAGATTAGGCTATACTTTGTATTTGCATATTGGTGAAGCCCCATTTAATATGGGCATTTCTATACTTACATTTTTTCCAAAAAAAAAAGGGTCCTCTTTCTACCAAAGTCATCATTTTTTAGTCCAAAAAATACCCAATAAAGCAAAATAACCCTTGAAAGAAAGGAAAAAAAAAGAAAACTAGAAAGAGAAAAGAGTACTGTTGATTGCTGGATATGCTGGGATACTTGATATTTTCTTTCTCTCTCTAAAAAAAAAACGCTATAGAAGAAGTAGATGGTGCTGGTGTCACTGTTGTTACTACTACATTCTCTCTACTGGTAAACTTACGAAAATCACAGGGATGGAGAACAGGGACGGGTAAGCTTTTCTCTCTTCTATGATTTTTTTTTTCCTGTAATAATTTGTTTTCTTGAATTTTTTTTTGTTGTTGCAAAATTAGTTTTCCATTTTTAGTGGTCTCAAGATTTAACGTTAGTAGGTCAGATGTAATATCTTTGGGTATAGTATTAGGGTTTTGATTATGAATGTATGATGTTGTGATAGATTGTGATTTTGACCTTTTTGTGAGGTTAAGAGTATTATGGTTGTTATACTTTGTAGTTTCCAATCAATAGAAGTTGCTGGTATCTTCTACACACTTGCTGTGGTGTTGCGTATAGTGTGGTTAATTCTTAACCAGGGGTATTAGTGATTTGGAGATGAAGATTTAGTTGTTCATCTTTTGCAATGGGTCAGTAGTCACTGGGTTGTGCATTGTTTGAACCTTTTCTGGTAAAGTTCACACATCCCTGCACTGGGTTTGGCATAAATCTGTGGTTTTTGAGAATATTGTGATAGAAATTGGGAGGGCATGAATGTCTGGGTGGTAAGGGTAATAAGGCTAGTTTTGACCTTGAGTTAAGTATCCTGTTCCTGGATGTGGGGAACTTTGAGAGAATATTTTGTATTATTCAAAATATTTGTGTGAATAAAAGGTGCACTGAAGGGACTCTAATGTTAACGGGCTGATCTTGTAGCGGAACATTTTCTATTAAATAAGAAGATGAAGCACTGATGTTTCTGATCTCTCTCTAGCTAAAGTTGAGAAACAATGCTGGATGAAAAAATTATTTGCTTGTGGATGGGGTGGTATTTTGACAGTAAGTGTTGGAAGGAAAAGAAAAAAGAACTTCGGCTGGTATGGATGGGGAAAGTGAATGGTTCAATGCTAGACTAAGAAGGTATAATATGAGGACTCTTATTATTATGGAAATATGAGACATGTAGTTAAAGTGTCAGGCATTGACCAAATTTTCAAAAAAGTTAAAGGTATTAAGTGAAGCTGAAAGAGTTTAAGCAGGGAGATAGAGCTAAGAGTATGGATGATGGTGAATGTGTCTTGGGCTTGGTGTTCAAGATGGCGAGCATCGCCATGAAGTCAATACCTTAGGCTGTAAAGCCTCATCATTTAGTTTTGGTAAGTTTTGTATCTTTTATTTTATATCTTTTAAATTTCATCTGGCTTGTTAGGCAATTATGAGACTTATGCTATGTTTGGATAACAAATTAGAAGGGAAATGGAAGGGAGGGAAATAGGAGGAAGGGGAAGGAAGGGAAAGTGGAGGAAATGATGAGCTCCATTTTCCCTCCAAATCTCTCCAATTTTGAAGGGATGGTCTTTATTAAAGGAGGAGGGAAAATGGATCCCTCCCTCCCCCTCCCCCTCCCTCCCCCAACATATTATCCAAATAAGGAAGTTTGTCTCCCTCCCTTTCCCTTCCCTTCCTTTCCTTCCATTTTTTGTTATCCAAACATAGCCTTAGTGGGACTGTGGGAGGGAATTTGTGTAACTAGCTGAGAATGTGGTTTGTGGTGGAATTAGAAGTTTCTGAATTTACAGAGGCATTAATATTCTTTTGATGGAAATGCAAGTGAGCCATTATGAAGATAAGCTAGTTTCAAGGGTGATTTCTTTTGAAAGGAGTTTAGGATGTTATTACTAGCGGGGTGGTTTCCTGTTTGTATTTGTGTCCATACTTTAATTATTTTCATCGTTTCTTAATACTAGTTGAACTCCCAAGTGGTCATTTTGGTCATACTTGGCCACTAATGTCAAATTTGGCCTTGTTAAAGATTTTAGAGTAACCATATTTGGTTTATTTTGGCCATTCAAATATCCAAATTATCATACTAAGATATTAGTTGCATGACTACAACATCTATGTATATGGTATGCTTTATTGGTTGTGTTTCCTTAAAAGTAAAGAGACCCTTGGCATTCAAAAATAGATGTCAAGGGACTATTTTGGGGAGAATTTATTCGGCTTTATATGTATAAGTATGTAGCTAGATTTGATTAGGTTATATTTGCAAATCACCGAAGTTCCATTGAGTGGTCTTACAAACTAATCACTATTCTCAAGGACTAGAGTTCACCTCAGGTGTCAAGCAAGATCAGATAATTATAAAGGTAACATCTTAGGAGACTATTAAGGAAACTAAGCGAGGCTTTAGTGTTATTTTTGGCCGTTTGATACCAACCTCCCCACACCTAGGGAAAAGAAAATACCATGTTATCCAATTTGAGACCTATTTCGTTGATGTCTAATGAATGATGATACATCTTTTATCTTAATAGCATCTTTGATTATGGCTGTGTGCATTAGAGCTTGTTATGATTCCACAATTTATTTTTCGTGGTTTACTTATAACCTAATGTACTCGCGTGTACAAATCACAGGGCTAAAAAGAAAATGAGTCTCCCTTGCAAGGTATGTGATTGCTTCACTGCTTTTATTCTCTTAAATTGGTCTTGAGTTGGCTAGGCCTATAATCTAATATTCGTTTTCCTGGCATGGCAGCGTCACTCTGATGGTAGTGAGAAAGTTGTAGAGGAAGAGAAGGCAAGGGGGTGTCTGATGAAAATCGTTGATTACATACAAGAATATGACATGTTGGAAGACGGGGAATGTGGGAGCCAAAAAGAGTCTTTAACTGGTAGGTTTTGATAGGATTGTTTTGTTTACATTTCGGCGGTTAATCTAGTTATTGTTTTTGTGTGTGTGTGTACTAATGATGCCTCCTCTGTGTACATTAAGGGAGGATCATAAAGAAGGAGGACTATTCAGATAAAATTCATTTTTTTAATGCGTGAAGATGGCTTCGAAGTGCAACTTGTAGCCATAAAAAGGTGATATAATCTTGATGACCTTACTCTTCTGTGTTTTTTTTTTTTCAATATCACTATCTTATTTTAATGTAAATTTTCAGCTTTGGGGTTTTATTAATGGATTCACGATGATATTGAATATACACATGATATGAAAGCAATTTTGTCGTTTGAACACCCCCCCCCTTTTTTTGTGTCGAGGAGATTTTCAATCGATATAGGCGTGATTCTGTGGGTCTGTATAACTAATATCATCTGTGTTTTATTTTATTGTGTAGTTTGGTTCATCATGGAATATTGGCATAAAATGTTATCCATCAGTGAGATATGAAACCTGTTCTTACTGTGTTGTTTAAATTTGCTATACTGCCATATTGTAGACTTTAATATTCATGCAATTTTCACAAGTCTCAGACCGTCTCATTGGTTTTGCATAATAATACTGATTGATATAATGCAATTTTTCAAGGTTTTGAAAGGTATATTTTATACAAGTTGGGATGTATGAGCCTTATATGTGGTGGCAATAATGACCCATATATAAGGATTGAAAGCTGTCAGTTGTGTGATTAGTGAAGTTAAAAACTATAATTGTCCCTAAAGGGCTTTATTGTTTTGTGTGTTGTCTCTTTGTTTAGTCTTCTAACTGCGTTTTTCTTTGGAGGCTATTCTTTTTCTTCTATTACTCTTTTGTGCGTTTGGATACTGTCCTTGCTGGAATTATATGTGGAATTTTATTCTATCCTATCATTCCTATGGTGTCTATTTAAGCTTGAATCTCCTTCATTCTTTCTCTTTACTCAAACAATTGTGTACTAGTAACTAATCTATATGTGCAGGTATTGCCAGAATATTGATCTTGTGGAACTTGGTCATGGTGTTCGGGTAACGGGATCACCAGGTTCATGTTTTATAAAATCTGCTGATTTGCAATCTCTAGATATTTACTTAGTTTAATTGTTAGACTTATTCAAGATCGTATGTTGTTTTGCTGGGATCTTAGTCATCTTACACTTTCAATATTCATGTTATGTTTTTAGGCGGTAAACCTTACTTCTCTCTTTTGAAATTTCCACCATATACCTCAAGGTTTAATGAAGTTCTCCATGTAACCTAATGACTTAAAATTCACTGTGTACCCTTAACACTGACTCACTCCCACCAAATAACTCACTCCCACCAGCCACTTTAGCTTCATCACTCACCACCACCATGTAAATTTGATATCCATTCATCAAAAGTCACGACTTAAGAAACTGAGTGGAGTTAAAATAATTTGAGGTTTAGATCAACACAAAAGTAGAAAACAATGTGAGAAAACTTGGACTTCAATTATCCAGTCTTTGCATTCAAAATTTGTTACCTAAAGAGAAAAAACAACTTTTTGGACTCACTTGTGTTATTGTCACCAACTTTAGTTGAAATTCAGACAACAATACATGTGTCCACCAACAGCTACATCACACCCAACCCATCCCAAGCATGAGACAACAGAGGCAATGGATATCACTTGCAAGGTGTTCAATAATTCGGACACAAAATCTCATAGCAATTTTCTGGTTTAAATTTAAACTGGTTTTTTCTGTTGATGTCCATGATTTTTAAGGGTTAATTGGAAAAACAGGCAACGAATAACCCAGGGGAGGAGAATGGGCTAGCCTCTTTGTGGCCGGTGGCAGGGGGCAGGTGATTGGGGTGGGTTTCCCTGTTAGGGGAGGGGAGTGTGGGGGAGAAATAAATTTAATTTGGAAGAGGGAGGGAAAGCGAGTTTAACGTATCAGGGATGGAGGCTTAACGGAGTTTCGCTTGTTAGGTTTGGGATTACATGGTGATTTTTGAAAACGTCTGTGGTATGTCGTTTTTTTCCTTGAGAACACGGTGTGTTTCATTAAACCTTGGGGATATATGGTGTAAAATCCTCCATCTTTTTTTTTCCTTTTGTTTGTGTGTGTGTGGGGGGGGGGGGGGGGGGTTGGGGGAGGTTGTATTAAATGGTGGCTGATAAACACTGATAGAGATATTTGTCTCATTAAACCTTGGGAATATAGGGTGAAAAATCCTCCTCCGTCCATTTTTTCTTTTGTTAGGGGGGGGGGGGGAGGGAGGAACTGAGGAAGTTGTATATGGATACATTTATCTTAATGATTTAGATAAAGATAATTTCGCTTAGAAATGGTGTTTGTTTTCTTTTGAGGTTCAGTGATACTTTAATTTGTGCAGTATTTTGGTTAAATTTTCTTCATCTGTTGCATGATTAGATCTCTTTTCTTGTTGATCATAGGAAAATTTGAGGGGATGCTATGTCTGTATGCCGACTCTTTTACAATGTCACCTCCTCATGGAGTTTCTGCTTCAAATAATGAAGAGGTAAATTAAATTTTTTTAGCGTTCATTTTGCATCTGCTTAGTAAGTAAAATTTTAGCTGAAAAGATTTATCACATTACACTTAAACAAGAAAAAATGATACATAGAAATCTGCTTAAGCTGATAGGGGACTTGTCTTGCTTTGCTCTATTCCAAGCTAGGTATATCTTTCCCGGCTTGAAGGCTGCTGAGGGCCAGCCAGGCTTCGGGATACAGGAGTAGATGGTGTATCTTTCTTCTTAACCACTAATTTCTCCTCTTCTCCCAGATATTGTCATCGTCTCTCAGCCCATACTTGAAATTCTCCTGATACTTCTTCTGAACTTTTGCGCTTTTCTTCAAAGCAGATATCTTTTATTGCAGTTCTTCTCTCGGATCTGGTTTTGTTAGGTTAACAGTCCACTCTCTTTTCTCATTTGTTAGGATTCTGCTGCCGATAGATGAAGTTTTTCTATTCTGTAACCGCCAAATTTTTTCTCCAACACTTCCTCCAAAAATCTAGGTGCTGATTCTGAATTTCTGACCCTTAGATTAAACTATGTCATCTTTTAAATTTTCAACCAGAAATATTGAAAAAGCAGAATAAAATGAACCCTCTAACCCCAGAGGAGTTGGGTGTTGCTGGGAAAGGAGCAGGGAAAGAACAGGGCAGGCAGAAATGAAATTTCTGGTTGTGATAGTATTTAACAGAGGAAGAAGAGAGAAACTAGCATATGAGTGTAGTGGATCAACACATTCAATATTTGGGCTAGATTTTGCAACAGCGGAGGTATTCTTTGGTCCAAGAAGAGACAGAAATGGGCTTGAAGCAAAGCTAAAGTCTATGACAACAAAACAAGAGGATGACCTATAAGCCCATTTTGGCTGAAAGGCATTAATGGGTCCAAAAGAGGACTTCAGGGGAAATTTGATCCTTTTTTGATACAAATTTCTACGTTTTGTTTAAGCACAAATTTTGCTGATTCTAGCTCTCTTAAACCTTAAGAAGAGTCTACCCCTTCCATTGGAAGATGACAAAAGGAAAGAAATATTGGGGAGGTAATGGACAGGACAAGAAAGAATATTTAAAAGTCGAGGGAACTGTACCCCCAAAATAAGGCTGAAATAGAGAGTATATAGACGTTTTGTTATAAAAGAAAGTATCTTGTAGATGGGATTGATAAATATGGAAGTGCAAATTTGTTCTGAATGTCAGAAATATGGGAATACATTGGCATTGGGCTCCTAAAGTAGTCATAACCTTTTTCCATCTGAGGACTTCAAAAAAAATTATAGATAACTCTTGAAGTCTAGAGATAGTGAAAGGGCAGGTTGAGGGATATTTCATAAAATTGCAACAGGTGGGAAATTAGATACAGGGTACAGAATTAGTGTCTCTGTGTATGGGAAGAAGCCCCGGGCAAGAACTGAGTGTAGAGACTTTTTAACACATTCATAAATAGCATTACCTCCACTTTGATTTTTGTGCAACGCTTACTTTGACATTCTATTGATGTCTCCTGATTGATCTTGACTGGATTTTTTTCCAGACCAACCTCTTACACCACCACTCTTACCGCCAAATATCAGTCATTTGACCTTCGTTTCCATAGCGGTCTCTTTCTTCTTAGAAAATCACTGTCATCTGATGAGGATTTCGAACTGGATTGATATTATATTTGCTATTTCCTATTTCCTTCATTAATTGACCCTGACTATGATCCTTAGCTTTCGGTGGCTATTAAGTCGCTGTCTCCAGTGCCTTGTCTTGCATGTGAGAATTTTATCAAATCTAAACGAGGGGTTCTGTTTTTCAACCCATATTAGCCCAATAAAATTGTTTATAATGATGGTAGAATGGTCTTTCCATCATTTAGTTGTGTTCCTCAACACAATAGATTTCAAATTGACATAGGATCTCTTTCCCTGGCATTTTGCATTTTGGTCTTATGTGAACTATGTTCCCACAAATACAATAAATCCTTTATAACAGAAGTCTGCCAACTCAAATCTTCCCTCTTGGTACTTGTAAAGGAATCCTGGAACAGGTGGGCAATCTACATGAACCTAAACTCTGAATCAGAGAAACTTTTTGGTACTTCTTCAATTGATGCTTCATCAAAATCCCTCCTACATGGAAGCCCTCTTTGCTGTGTAGGGTATTATACTTTTTTGTCAACCCTTACCCAACCTCATTAGAATTATATTCCTAGTCAATGCTTTGGGTAACCATCCTTTCAAAATCAACAAAGCTCCCTGGCCGTAAGCGCAACCAAATCTCTTCCTGAACTTTGATTTACTGTTTATCAGGGATTACTAGGTCTTTTAAGTTTACTGTTGGCTTTTCTTGAATAGCAGATTTGATGTTGTGACTCATGAGTATAATAAATTTGCTTCATCTTCTCCTTAATCTCACAAACTTTACTTTTCTTTCACCTTAATTTATAAATCTAATGTTATATATGCAGCCAAAACATCACAAGCATTTTGAGGAACTATCAAATCATAAATTTCAGTGGGAGTTATACAAAGGGGTGAAGATTTTACATCCTCCCATCAAACAAGGTCCCAATTTGTGTGCATTTGCAGCTGTTGTGAAACAACTCGATTATAATTTGAGGCTTTTGTACTCTAATGCAAGCAAGGGATTCTCATTGCCTGAAGATGTATGTATATTTGACCACAAAAAATGGAAGAATGATTTGAAAAATCAGTATCCTGCTCGCAAAAGTAGGTGGAAACCTATTGACCTACTAGTTGAGGCAAAAACCAGAGGTATACCATTATGGAATCATGGTATCCATGCTATCCAATTCGCTAAGATGATAAAATGTTCAGACAAAGACAGAAACAATCACTTGAAGCAGTTGTTAAAATCTTTTCCAGTTATAGGAGTTGTGCCTGTATACCCTACTTATAATGTTGATGGAAGTGACGTGTATGTAAAAGGCGGTAGTGCAAGGACTGAGAGGATAATTAATACGAAAGGTATGGAGGTTGAGCAACCAGCATATCATGCTGTTGTTTTGGTTGATTCACGAGAAATTGAGGATATTCTATACATAGCTTATCAAAATTCCGAGGGGGTTTCTGAAAAAAGCATGTGTGATCATGGCATCTCATGGATGGAAGCTGATTTGATTAAAGAAATTGTATATGGATGTTCCCTGCCACCAATTCATCCCCCTAGTGTTTTGCAATCAAAACACCAGATTGACTCAGTGCTCGCTAAATTTGAGATTGTTGGTAAAGGTTTGAGTTCCTCTCAAGAAGTTTTTCGAAAGGGTCAAAATGTAATTGATCAAATCACAAAATCTAGGTTGGTTATTCGTGATGATGAACTTTTGAGCTTGAACAGTAAACTTCAAGAGTACATCACTCGCATCCGCCACATAGCCCAGACTATGAAGAACTTCTTTGATAAATATGAGGGCATTCAAAAAAACGCCATGGCAGGTTTTTCCGATATACCGCGGCTTTTAGAGGCTTGTGGGGATGTAGATGTAATTGAAGAATATGCAACCAAATTGCAACAATTACATCAAAACACATTGCTCTAGTTCAGGTAATTAATCACAAGTATTTTGTTAGATTTGTTTCATTTATTTATGAGCCTTAAAGAGAAAACTTGGTTTTACTGTAGCTACAATATCTATCCACCACTTGTGAATTGCCAATTTTACCCTTACATTGACACCTTTATTTTTTCATTTTCCAGGTGCCTTGCTGGTGTGTGGTGTCTCTTTGTCCGCTTTCTTTGATTCCCTGGTCTATTTCTTTAATGGTTTTCTTTCTTTTTGTTGCTGTTGTTTTCATTTGCAGTTGCCGTTTGAAAAGTCAATTTGATTTGGTTCGTTGCTTTGAGGTAACTCTTATGGATGAGGTTTAATTGTGCTATCATATGGCATTTTGAAAATTGAAGTGGCCCTTTTTGGCTTGTTTTTGTTTGGCTATCAATTTTGGTTCCAATGTCTGGTTGGGATCTCATTGTAGCAGCGATTTCTCATTCGCAATTGTGCATTATTGTCCAAGTTAGTATATTCTGTTCAGGTTACCTTTTTGGAAGTGGACGATCCTTTTAAGGCTTTGTTGGGGTTGATTGCTTAATTAGAGGTTAATTGTGTGCTTCACTTGTGTTATGTTGGTAAAATTGATGTAATGTTTGTGTTTGATTGTATCTTAGTTGTGTAATTAGTTGTGTTTTGCTGATTAGGTTTGTATTGCCTATGTTAATTGTTATTTCTGTTTGGACGATGTTACTTAGCTAATTTATTTGGCCAAATAGCTAGGTTATAGGGAATTCTATTTTCTTGTAGGCTGTTATGGTGGTAGTTGAGTGGTTACATCACTTGCATGTTTTGAGGTTGTATTTTATTTGGACGTTTCATTTTTTAAAAGCCCCTTTTGGATTAACTACTACAAGGTTTCCCGTCAAAAAAAAAAAAAAAAAAAAAAAAAAAAAAAAAAAAACCTAGAAGGTTAACAAAATTAGATAAGATAAGTTTATAAAAAAAACAAAATTTACACAAAGGTCTGCAAAAGCTTGGTTAGGTCAGCTGTTCCGGCCCAACTTTTAAAAAAAAATTTCTCTGGTTCATGGGCAGCCCAAAAAACTGACTTTAGTTGAATTAAAAGCCTGTCTTTTTCGGCCAGAAAATTGAGTCTGGACACAGGTTTTGACCCGAAGTTAGGCCCGGCCTGAATCTTTGGCTCAAGATGGGCCCTTTTTTTTGTAAGTACAATAGGTCTAAGATGCACCCTTTGCTACAAATTATGGATATTCTCTATCAATATATATTTTATGGAATTTAGAATAGTTATACATGCTTAAAAAAACATAAAGTCTTATTTAAACTAAAATATGATTTTAAAACTTTTCGAACTCTAAAATAAAAAAAATACGGGATTAGTAAAGTTATTTAATAAATAAAAGTAAACTATTTTTTTTTATAAAATATATTATTTAAAATCATAAATAACTATTTTTTTTATAAAATATATTATTTAAAATCATAAACTATTCGGGTATTACACATATGTTCATACTTTTAAATGCATATATTCATATTTTGAATACTTAAGTATTTTTTATGCATATGTTCACTTTTTTAAATGCTTATGTTCATATTTTGTATCCTTTTGTAAACTTTCTGAAATGCATATATTCACTTTCTAAATTCAATTGATCTCGAAGCAAAAAAAATTCAATTCATATGAATTAAAAAATCAGATAAACAACCAATTTCACATTGCAAGGAACAGATTCTGATAGAGAATATCCGTAGAATATTCTCATCTTAGGTTTAGGATATATTTTGTATAAGATTATCTTTGATATCTGTACATATCTATACTCTGTTTCTTCTCCTTCCTTCTTTCTATTTTTCTCGTTTTTTTCGATTTTACGATTGAATTTGATAGAGAATATCCATAGAAAATTCTCATCTTAGGTTTAGGATATATTTTGTATAAGATTATTTATAGGGTTACAATGAGAAACCTAATCATATTAGGTAACATAAGATATGTACAGTTGATTAGGTAACATAAGATATGTACAGATATCAAAGATAATCTTATACAAAATATATCCTAAACATAAGATAAGAATATTCTATGGATATTCTCTATCAATACTCACAAGGCCAGCACCAGCAAACGGAGCATGGTAATTGTTAGATAATATAGACTACTTGATTAGAGTGATCTCCATTGATCAATATTTACAGGGTTACAATGAGAAACCTAATCATATTAGGTAACATAAAATATGTACAGATATCAAAGATAATGCTAAATCAGCACAAGCTTGATGGCATCTGCAGTGGAGTCGTATAGTAGCCGCAAGTGCTTGATCTGTTCACATCTTTTACCCAAATCTCCAGATATATTAATGTGAAAAAATCATGTAAATCAAGATTCAAGAAGTGGACATCCAAAAATTGCTTTCAAGCCTTACAGTTTCCAATCAGCAATGGCTTGTGCTCTTCATTGCCAATAAAGTCATGAGTTTTAGACCCAACATCCATTTAGGCTAATCAGACAATACAACGAGAAGAAACTAGGAACCAATGTGCTCCTTTTGGTCACTACCCCTATTTCTCCTTTCAATATAGAATTCAAGTACACCTACCAAAAAACATGATAAATCACTAAAGGTAAATTCATGAAAAGTTCTGCACATCTCAATGTCTCAGTCACTACCAAAATACATGATAAATCAACCATGTTGAATGCTTAATAGCAGTCAACACACCTCAAATAGAAGCAGTAATTTGCCATATAGCATAAATCATGTACCCAAAAAACGATATTGAAAAGCATATCTCCATTCTAGGACCAAAGAAGTATATACACACCAAAAGTTCAGAATGCCAAAATTTACTTTTAAGATGATGAAAGATTCATATTTCTTTAACTAAACTATACTATTTCTAATCAAATCCAATTAAAGGGGGAAAACATCATGGCAATTTGCAAAATTTGGTTAAAAGAACGCTTCTAGCATAATATCAATAAAGGGGATCTAGAAAACCCGAAATCGATACGACCCAAATGACAATAAGAATTGGAGAGGTCAATTGATTGAAGAGGGAAAGGGGAAGTTTGATATCAGAAAACCCTAATTTGCATTGTTGATTAGCAGAATCGACAAATAGAATTAGGGTTTTCCGATCTCAAACTACCCCTATTCCCTCTTTTCCCTTCGATCCAAACAAAGTGTAATCCAAATGACGATGATAATGAGGAACAAAAATAGAATAGGGGACAAGAGAGTAAAGACGGGAGTGAAAGAAAGGGGAAGGGAGAGAAGACAAGAAAGAAGAAGAGTTGCCGCCATGAAAGAAGACGGCAAAAGCTCGAGGTCTAAGCCTCATCTTCTCCTTTGTGAGTCTATGCAAAAACTTATACTCGTATGTACTTATATAGACGTATCTTAACTTGACTAAAAACTTATCTTAATTTAACCTACGGAAATTGTCTTAACCAGTCTAAGGACTAGAGGTGATTAATATTGGCCCGGCCCGCTAGCTCGGCCCGATCCAACTTGAAAATAGGGCGGGTTTGGACTAGCATAAAACGCATTTTAGTTTAAAAGCCCGAACCCGGCCTAAAAAGCCCGAAAAGCCCGTTTTGGCCCAACAAGCCTGATACATTTTTACGGTTTTGGGCATGAGAAATTGTGTTAAGGCCCGGCCCGACCTGATTTTTTTATCACCTCTAGTAAGGACCTGTTTTGATTGACTAAATTGAGCTGAACTGAACTAAATTAAACAGAACTGAACTTATTGGAGTTGAGCCGAATTGAACTGGATTGATTATTTTATGAGAGAAGGAAATTAAGTACTGAACTGAATTGAAAATAATATGAAGAGAATAGGCCCTAAGGGCCTGTTTACATTTACTTAATTTCAGTTCTGTTCAGTTAAGCTCCAATCAGTTCAGTTTAGTTCAGCCCTAATCAGTTCAGTTCAGTTTAGCTCTAAATTTCCCTCTCTCATAAAATATTCATTTCAGTTCAGTTCATTTCAGCTCCAATCAGTTCAGTTCAGCTCCAATTAGTTCAGCTCAGCTCGGTTCAGTAAATGTGAACAGGCCCTAAGGCATTCATTTCACCTTATATTTGCTGAACTTAAATTAATTTTATTGAATTGAAATTATTTTGCTGAACTGAAATTATTTTTACTAATTTTCTATTATATTTTGTTAGATTGAGTGAATAAAGTCTTAAATCTGAAATAAAAAAGGGTTCTATTAGGTCTTTGTTTGTTTAACTTGTACGTAGTATTTTATTTTATTTTTATTTTTTAGCTTTGTAATAACCTTCTGCTTCATACAAGATGTTTTTTAACTTTTGACCCAAAAAAAAATTTTAAAAAGTACTTGATTTTCATATTGAAATAGATACTTTGTTGTGACAAGAGAGTAGAATGCTTCCTCCTTTTACAAGGATTTTTTTCCACTCTCGGTATGTTGTTATAAGGAGGATGCATGATTTTCAATCAATTTTTTAAATCTACATAATTATATGAAGAAATATGAAATCAGATGCAAACACATTGCACATTATACAAAATTACAAAGTAATACGAAATCATAAATTTTGGGCTGATACTCCAAATTTTGAGATTTACCAAACTTAATAAAGATCATTGTGAATGTTGTATGACTTATTATTAATGATTTTCCTTTTCAAGTAAAAGGAAAAAAACAAAAAGAAGCAGAAGTTCACCTAAACTGCAGAAGAAGAAGAAAAACAGCTAGAACTAATATTTTGGTAATACTTATTCCGATAAACATAGTACGGAATATAATTCACCACAATGGTAGGGAATGTTTAAAAAAACAAAGGAAAAACAAAATAAGATCAGCAAAAACGTTATTTCACAAACACGGATAACCATCAATCATCAAAATTTCCTATTGAAAGCAATAAACCCAATCCAAATAATTCGGAACAAGGTCGAGATTAATGTCAATCATCCCAAGTGCCAATTCTCGTCGACAACAAGGTACAATTTTGATTCAGACAGGTGAAAAGCAACCTTGAATCTTTCAGCATCAATTAGGAACACTGCTAATTAGAGAGGACCTAAACTTTCACCATGTCAGATCGTGGCCTCCAAAGTCCTACTCTGTATTTGTGGGCATACTTCAGTATCAGCTTCCTCTGACAAGCAAAATGAAAATTTTATCAATCTATTGTGTTAAAAATTCATGGTAATATAAAGTTACTCCTTCAATCTGGAAACTATTGTCATGTATTTAGAAAATACTTCAGTTTTAACAATTTCAGATTTCCTAAAACAACCGGAACTAATTTGAAGGTGGAGACTCTGCACTTCTGCAGAGAGGGTGGGAAGATCTAAAGGGCACAGGTATTATTATATTACAGCAGGTTTTTTCTGCTACTAGTGTATTAGTGTAACGTGATAATTAGTGCTGCAGAGAGAATAAAAGTTGTACTACAATAATAAACCAAACTCTTGTATAGAAGATTGTCCATCAAGATCAAACAGTTTAGCTAATTAGCGTGATAGAAATAATCTTATAACTAATTGGACCATTACAGCATCCTGACCCTAAATAGAACCATATAAGCAAAATTTTAGGCACGTGAACAGAACCATTCTTGCATAGATATCATTGCAATTTAATGCATTGATTAACCCCAAAAGGCACCCCAAAGAAGAAACAGCCACTCCTAAGATACCCATTCCAGCACCTCCCAGCCCCACAATCAGCATTGACTACTATTGTTCAGAAACCCAGATAAGTGTTGACAAGGAAACAACAGCCAACATTTTAAGTGTCTTTAGAGATACGGAGTATGAAATAACTTTATAAAGATCAAAACAACCGAAACCATATGTAAAGGATAATTAAGATTTCAAAGAACAGAAGTGCCCCATTCAGATTTCCTTCCCGCTTTCCGCAATTTAATCTCAATATTCCATTTACAAGAGTTGTTCTATTCATAGCTAAAAAGCCTACAATATAAACAAAGCCTAGAGTAAAAACTGTAAATCCAGTTACGAGTACATAAAACGGGTCATTAAAATGTCTAGATTTCTGATTTGTTGTAAGGTAACCAATCTTTTACATAGCTAAAAAATTTATTTGGTAAAATTTGATATGTACATGATACATCGCAAACAATGCTTTTGGCTTTTTTTTTATACAACACACACCCTTTTCTTCTCTGTTTCTATTTTCTACGGTGTTCAAATTTCCTAGAAGAGTGCTTTCCACATGAGTGTCTACTGCCTGTCACAGCAAATAGTAAACTTGAATACCAACATTCAGCACATCAATGGATGTGTCCATGTATACTAAAATTTTGCACTTGTAACTTAATTTTGCACTTTAAACACCATAGATATGGAACTAAAATTTTCTACTTCGTACATATACAATGCTGGAGCTTTAAATAGCTACAAGTTAGAGCTACATACAGAAACTCAGCCTCTAAGAGATCATCCTCATCTAATTAACTTGTGCATGTGAAACATAGTCCATTACAAACTCCAGAGTATAAACATTTTTAAATTGGTTCCAGTTTTAATAGAATCTTAAATAAATCTACCATTAAAACCATTATAGCACACAGCAGTACTGCAAATCTGAAATTATAAACACCATTGGTACCAATGATTGAAGAAATCAAGACAATGAACCAGCAAGGAAGCTGAGAGATAATACATAACCAAAGCACAAAATCGGTAAACAATGCATCAAATGTAATTCAAATTGCACAATTTCTCAGCAACAAAGGTATCAAGAGAAATACTTACATGTTTACATGGAATTTCGAGCTTCTTGAGCTTAAGAGTGCGAACCACAAGCAACTTCTGAAGGTCCCCAAACTCAGACTCAAGCTTCCCCACATGAGCCTCTACTCCTTTCCCTATCCCATTCAAAAACTCCGGTATTCCGACCTTCACTGCCATGTCAAACATCACATCAAGCCCTCATTTAAAAGTTAAAACCAAACTAATAAAGAAACATCTCTAATCATCTAATGGGTTCTGCACAAAATCCAACTGCATTTCCATAAATAATGAAGCAAAGTCCACAAATTATAATCTGAAATAGAAAATTTAATCTCACAACAAAGACAAAGGAAAATTATTTCTCATTCTTCTCTGATCTTAGCAAAATAAATAACATAATCAGGGCAACTAAAGAAAACACAACTAAAATGAAAATTGTGCCTTTTTCAGACTTCAACATCAAAAACATTACAGATCAATATTTTAACCCAAAAAAATTGAAAATCAACAATGGAAAAATCAAGCTCAAAAACCCTATACCCTAAACCCCAAAACCCGTAAAAAACAATTTTTAAAAAGTAAAATCTGGGTATTTCTCTAATTAATCCAAATTGTAAATTCATCACAAGATTCAACCAAAAACCAACAAATTAAGAGAAGGATAAAAAAAAAAACAGAAATTAAATTTTTTAATTTTGTACCTATATATGGAGACGAAGTGGAGAAGAATCTTAAAGATGGAGGAACGAAAGCTGGAATTGATGCGGGTGATGGAGAAGTGAAAGTTCTAGAGATTTGCCGCCATATTGAAATCATTTCGCTTCTTCTTCTTCGCAACTAAAGCTGAAGCCCAGAATTTTAAGGTCACTGCAATTTTGCGTACTTAGAAATTGAACAACTTTAATTGGGGTTTTGCCCTTTTCTCACATGTTGATGACGATGAGCGTGAAACTTCTAATACGACGTCGTTTTGACTCTGTTTTTTTTTCCTTGTGTTTAAAGCTTCAACTTGTCATTTTTACTTGCTCCATTTTTTGGGTAAAAAAAAAAACATGTCGTTTAACCTACTTAAAGATAATACTTATAAAAGTTGACATCTCATTAATTAATCAAAATATTAGCTTGTTTTGATTTTTAAGCTAACATAGCAAAGGATGATTCAATTTTTACAATTACTTGTTTTAATATGACAATATGTTAATATTTACGAAGTACTTCGGTTATCTTTACTACAAAGTCTACAATATAATCCTATTAATCTATTATTGTTACCGGTACCACATGTATACACGGACCAAAGTAAACAATAATGTACAAAAATAAATGCAATTGATCAGTTAAATGTTGATTGTAGTCTTGGTTCATGTTTTTGAAATACGTATAACTAGAAATATTAATTGTCAATATCGTGATTTACAATAACAAAGTCAATAAGGACCCAAGGTGTTGAAAGGAATATGTAGAAAGAGATAAAATGATAAGGCATGAAGACTTGAAGAGTTCAATAATGCATAACGTTTTTATTGTCACTATATATGATAGTTTTTTTGTATAAGTTGAGGGTGATTATTTTCCTTGTTTCATAAATTATGTTGACTTCATGATGATTTATGTCTTAATCTTTGTTCTTTAAGAATGAGTAATTATGAACTTAACTAAAAATTTGAAAAACATGTACAAAAGAAGTGGCTTCACTTCTTCAATTCAACTTCTTTGCCATTGCTACTTCACACTGGTCTAGACATATATACAAGACCATATAGTTAAAACAAAACTAACATTATCGTTTGTTTGTGTTTTAAAGTTGTAATACTTTGACTTTAACACTTGTCTAGACTTAATAATTATAATTGAATTATTCACAAGTACAAATTCTAAGAAGTTGATATTTTGATCAAATTCTATATTATTCAAACAAATTTAATGATTATTATTATTTCGATCTATTTCTTAGCTATGATTTTCTTCACATACAAATCAATAAGGACGGACGGTTTTTATGAGTAGTACAAAAGTTTAACTATGATAGAAATGATTTACAATTAAAGAATGATGAGAAATAGGAAAAACCAATAGAGAAATAATTTAAGAGTAAATAAGTAGATTATTACATTGACATTTTGACAATAATTACTCACTCCTTCCTTAAACTAGGACTTAGGAGTATACCTTTGCCTTTTAATAGTAGTACATTAATTTTTTGATGCAAATAGTAGTACATTGATATAATTAAGAGTTTGCTTCCTACCATGAACATTGCACTCAATATAAATTTATTTCACCAAAAAATATACAAGTACTTAATTACATGAACAAGTTTCCATATTACACATGTTTTTGCATAAATATACGGAGTACATAATTTGGTAGATAGACGCTTTATATTTAAAAAAAAAAAAGTTTTTACAAATTTTCTTTTAAAAGTAGGTGCTTTAGGTTTTAATGACACAATAAATACAACATCACAAAATTAGGCCAATTGGCACCACTTTTATTCTTGTCACAACTTTATGCAATCAATGTTTTTTTTTTCTTTTTTTTTTTGGCTTGCACTTGTTTTGTCCCCACTTAATGATAAAGCCCATTGTTACCAGCCAAAACCAAGTACTTATCTTTCCTTGTTAAGCCAGTACACGTATAACTTAATGCTTTACCAATCATATCTTGAACATAATTAGCAACTTCAAATCTGGTTCTTCCACCACTCCCACAAGTCCATTCCTTAGGTAATTTGTCAAGGAATTTCACGTGATATGAAGGCCACGGGTTCATCATAAAGAAGAACGGATCAAAGGCTTTAATCCCACTCGCAGTTGTTCCATAGAACATACTAACGTCTACTTGTAGGGCAATAGGATTAATATCATCACTTAACTCTGCAAACAAGGGACTAAACCTTAGCAAATAAGGCTCCCTACACGTAGTCCCTTCGGGACACAAAATAACGTTCCTCCCTTGGCTTAACACCTTGTACATAATCGCGGCATCTTTCTCCCTATCCCTTGTTAGCTCAATTGTATCAATCGGACATAGAAATTTGGACAATTTGCTTATGCTATAGGTAAGTGTGAAAAGATTCATTCGACATATGTGTGAGACATAGACTGCATCGAGTAATGTTTTGTGATTGCATACATAGATCATTCCTTTTGAATTTTCGGGTTTATTAGTATACTTAGGGTTGTCTTTTGAAGGAGTATAAGGATAGCGTAGTCCAAGAAAGGCCGCGATTGGTGAGCATACTTCGTGAGGTAGCAAAACAGCTACAAGTACTCTTGTGATACTAAGGATAATCCCAAATGGTAGCCACATAAACATAGTAAGGGTGTCTAATGGTGTGGGTAAAAATGCTAGTCTACCATCATGAAATATCAATGGTTTGGGGTATTTTTCTATTGGAAGATTATTCCAACTCTTCTTATCATCCTTGCTTACCAAATAGATATCCTGCACATATAAAAAAATAATTAATTAATTACCATTGTATTTAGATTTTAATCTAATGTTTAAAAACTTGCATAAGCTTATGTGGGGGGCTAATAAGGGCTTCATCAATGTATTGTAACCACTTATCAATCAACTACTAACTTAATTATCAACTACATTAACTAGTTAGTTTATGACCTTTCATTTATCAAGACAACTCACAAGCAATTCAATTTTTAACTACTACATACTTCGTCGCATTTTAGTTTACCCATTTTGACTTTCACCACTACTTACTTAAGTTACTTTGACTTCATTTTGCAATTTATTTTTAAGAAAAAACATATTTGAGTGGTAGTAGCGGATGCATTCTGATTAAGTGGGGTCTCTTGACCCCACTTGAACATGAAAAATAAATCCTATAAAATTAATTTTTTTCCCCAATAATTTAAAATTACTTATATTTTTATGAAATGTCCCCATTTAAATTTATCAATTGCATTTTGACCCAATTAAGTATTTTTTCTAGATCCGCCATTGTTGAGTGGGGTCTTGTTTAATACACCAACATTATTTACTTTCCAAACATCAAAGTTTATAATTGTTTGAAGTTATGATTTGGCAAAAGCGGCAAAATAAAATGTATTAATCAAGAGATATATACTTCTTAATTCTTATATGGAGACATGGAAACTTATAATTTAAAACTTGCGACCATGAATTATTATTATTATTTTTTTTTTTGCGACCATGAATTATATATTGATTATATATGCTTAAAACTATATGCTTAAAACTATTTGGAGAGGTTAATGATGAATTTTAACATAACATGCACTTTTACTTATCAGAAAAAACACCTCTATTACTCTGCATGCATGCATATGTATGAAGTATTCATATATATTAGCATCCTCTTATTCTTGTTTATGAATAAGAGAGCCCTATTTTCATTCATCCAATTTATAAGAGTTAAGTATTCATATAAAATGCATGTTATTTATCCTTATTTTTAGTGTTGAAGATTAGTTCCCAAATCTTGAACAATTTTACAAAATATTTGTTAAAAGCATTTACCTTTAAAATGTTGAAAGGGCGAATTTTGTAAGATTTGGTGAAGCCACAAATCCCAACATATTGGCTTTCTTCGGACATCATATGTGAAAAGATTTTCTGTTGCTTATTTTTCCCAATCTCCGATTTATCCAACAAACCTGTGTAATATCCACTAATCACTCCAATTTCTCGCCCAATAATATCTTCAACACCCAAAAAATCCATTAAAAATCCCTCAACCATTACCTTGGGCAATATAGTCACTCCCACCTTCCTACCAAACTTCATCACCACTTCAAGGCTTTCACAACCAACATTTTCCAAGAAAAATTTTGGCAAAACAGTTTTTCCTATCTTAAATCTCTCTTTCTTGATGCCAAAAAAGCAAATAAAAACCATGATTTCGAACCTCAAATCTTCGTCTAGGATGCACAAGAACGGGTACATGAGAAGCAAGATTAGGGCTCTTATAGGCCCTCCGCCTTCGAAAGCCACCAACATGAAGTAAGGAAACATGGAAGATGATTTTAATAAAATGTCTTCTATACTAAAAACTAATGTGTTTTTTTGAAACATTTCATCATCTTCCTCTACTTTGGTTAAAGAAGTGAACTTGTGATAATTTTGTTGCATTTTGTGTGTCAGTGGTTCAGGTAATTTGTGTGGTGTTGTGCTTACTAAACTGTACTAGCTTGCTAGATATGGTGTCATAGAAATCCTTAAACCCGTCCCATCTTTATATATAGGTACATACAGAGTAATAAATAGAGATGTAACGACTAGTAAAATTTGATTAAAAATATATGGTTTATATTTAAACAACTTTATTACAATAGAAAATTCTAGAAAATTATATACTTCAAATAAGATGTCGGTCCAAAAAGTTTAAGGAGGAGGGCTTGAGGCGTTCTTAGACATTATACATTTGTTTTGGTCCTACCGAGTAAAGTTTAATAAGTTCAAGTAAGATAAGATAAGTGAAAGGACATTTTGTGACAAACTACTTTATAAAACACTTTTTTGCGAGAAACTACCTAATAAAAAAATGTTGTAAGAAACTACCTTATAAAGCGTAAATGTTGTAAGAGACTATCATTGGTCGGAAAGTTACCGTTGACTTTCATTTTCCGGCGTTGACCACATCATGTGCCAATCACGTGACTTTTAATTCACCCATTCGCTTCTTTTTTCTTAATTGACACGTGACACGATCAACGTCAGAAAATAAATGTCAAAGGTGACTTTTCGACCAAGGGTAGTCTCTTACAACATTTATCCTTTTATAAGGTAGTTTCTTACAACATTTTCTTTAATAGGTAGTTTCTCGCAAAAAAAAAGTGTTTTATAAGGTAGTTTTTCACAAAATGTCCTAAGTGAAAATCATAAATACTAGTATATAAAACACGCCATAACATATAGTCAAACAGTTTATAATTTGATTTTCTTATATTTCAATAGAGTATAAGCATATATTTGAAAATTATACATGAAATTTAATTGCATGTATTTTTTGAAATATACGAGTATATCAATAATATAAATTCCCGATTACAATGAGCATACAAGAAATTCTTCACTTGAAAGGTTTTGAAGTATATCCTACGGTCCTACTAAATAACGTATGTAAGTATTCCACAATGAGGAAAAAAAATAGAGTTAAAACACTTTATAAGGCTAAGGAACTACTCTTCCTATTATCATATGATTTTGAAATGGTACCTCATTTAGACTTGTAAAGTGGACCCTTTCAATAAGTCGACCTAACTTATGTTTTCATGTATTTAATTAGTGTACTAGTTCGAAATTTATCAAATAATGAAGCGAAGCTAAAACACAATCTTACAAGATTTGAAAAATAAAATTCACAAGCTTGAATGGACAAGTCTCTCTCCTCTTTGATTTACATAGCTACAACTAGGAAGGAGGGACCGATTTATAGAATTAGAAAGTTTTTCTCGATCACCAAATTATGTATAACTAGCTAATATAACTCTTTTTTGGTGAGAAATTAATGTTGATTAATGGTTCTTAAAGTTAGTTGTTTGGTGAGCTATTAGGTCTTTAATTATATCGTAGGTAATTCACAAAATAATCCATAAAAACTTACAGTGTGGTCGGTGTCATATAAATATATAATCTACGTTTATGATACACATTAATTAGCAATGCATATAAACATTAAGGCTCCGTTGTGTTCGCCTTTTTTTCATACTCATTTCAATTTAACATGCTTTGATAAGGGTTAATAAGCTAAGTGATGTTCAAATTAGACGAAAACAATTTCAAATAAGTTTAGTTATTAGGTTTAGATAATAAGTGAAAACAAGGTGAATAAAACACATCATAAATGCATGTCGTATGATCAAAAGGCATGTTATTATTAATTTCCATTGTTGTTATTAATTAATGTTTAATACGAATTGAAGTATGTATATGTTTATTATTTGTATTTTTACTTTGTCGCCCATTAATTAGGGCTATATGTATATCATTTAATTTACAAATAATAGCATAATGTATACCTTCAATATTTTATACAAAATCTAGTAGCAAAGTTAAGGAACGTACATAGACGTATAGAACCACATACATATTAATATGTTATCTACTATCTTATATGTTATAAATTTATTTTTTTAGTTTCGCGATAATAACACTAAGACTACGTGCGTCCATCAGTTTTTAATTTGAAAATGCTAGAATGAGATACATTATTATCGATTAAATGCGATATGAGAAGCTTAACTTATTATATAAATTTATCAAATTTATTTTTTCAGTTTCGCGATAATAACACTAAGACTACGTACGTGCGTCTATCACTTTCTTATTTGAAAATGCTAGAATAAAATATCATTATTATCGATTAAACACGATATGAGAAGCTTCACTACTTGTTATATATAAATTTATCAAATTTTTTTTTTAGTTTCGCGATAATAACACTAAGACTACGTGTGTCTATCACTTTCTTATTTGAAAATGCTAGAATGAAATATCATTATTATCGATTAAACACGATATGAGAAGCTTCACTACTTGTTATATATAAATTTATCAATTTATTTTTTAGTTTCGCGATAATAACACTAAGACTACGTGTGTCTATCACTTCCTTATTTGAAAATGCTACAATGAAATATCATTATTATCGATTAAACACAATACGAGAAGCTAAACTTGTTTTATATATATATATATATATATATATATATATATATATATATATATATATATATATATATATATATATATATATATATATATATATATATATATATATATATATATATATATATATATGATACTCTCCTTTCATAATGAAAATTTCTTCTATTAGATAGGTAGCTAGTTAGTTAGATTGTGACATAACAAAGATTATGTAACCTTCTCTATCTTTTAATTAGCAAATTCCTCTTTTTATAAACTACGTAGATATATAGTTAGAATACTCCCTCTATCCAACCTGCTCATGACCTATCAACCCCCCCACCCCCCCCACCCCCCTCTCAACGTATTCCTCTGCAAAATATTCAATTAGTGTGGGATTAGTTAATGTAATAGAGAAGATATATAGATCATGCATTTGTATTAATTAGTATACTCAGTCAATCATTCATAATTCATTCATCCATATCGACCATATGTGTCACTCAAGTTAAAGGTGGTCCAAAAAATAAATAAAGATCAGACAATGAGAGCGATCTGATTAATACGTTACGTATATGACCAATAGTCCAATATACAGTACATGAAGATGAGTATAAATAAAAAAACTACTTACTACTGGCCAGACAATACGTATATAGGGTCATTTTATTCTGATATACTTCTACAATAATACAGTGAAATAGTATTTTAGTTAGGTTTGTTTGAAAATATATCAATGTATTTATAAATGCTACGGTATCATTTAAATTATATTTGTATATATATAAAATACTAGGCCAAAATTCATTATCCAACATTTAATAACATGAAATTTAGAATGTTTTAGATGTCAAAAGCTGGATTTTTAGTTCTTCATTCAATTATAAGAAGTTCTTTATCATTTAATCTTTTACTCCGTATATAATTGTAGAGTCATTTAACCACAAACCCAATTCTCAAATCTCATGTTTTTTTTTGTTGTTCTTTAACCTTCAATTAAATAACTTCCACTTCTCCATTTTTTTTTTACAACTTCCACATCTCCTATTGTTTTTCTTTAAATATACATTTTACATACATATATATCATATCGTGTGCTAGCACGGATACACTGTAGTTACATTGAACTTAAAACTCAATGTATTTTGTGACAAAAAAAATAAAATAAAATAATAATATAAGTTGGGTGTTAGTTGCTGTCATTAGAGATGTGGTAAAATATAATTGTAATGCATACAAGGTCACTAGTTCAAATATTGATAAATGATACTTGTACTAACTATTGTTATATTTCTTTATGATGATGAAAAATATTGATCAATATTATGACATGACGCCACATTAATTTAAACTTGCATAAATGCCTAATAATAACGATATGTAGGGAGATAGTAAGCATCGTCAATTTATCATTGAATTTAACCATCAGTACGTATAAATGATTGAACATGATATATACGTAGTATGGTATTTATTTCATAAATATATATACTCATTTAAATCAGTCTTTTTATTAGCTAGGAAATAATTGACCTTAATTAATATGTGAAACAAAATTGATTTAAGAGATGAATGAACGAGTGACCAAGAAAATTTGGCGCATGGACCTACATGATATTTATAGAGTGTATAGACATGGACTTCTACTTCAAGAAGTTACCCCATGTATACAGGTTAGTGTATAAACCCTTTATTGTTGGACATAAGATAAAGTGCTCGAAGGCTACGTGAACCGGCTATATTAAGAGGCTATAATTATTTCATGCTTTTTCCAAGTATGAATAGTATTGTATTTTCATGGACCTAGTATAAATACAATACGACCCACTCTCTTGAATGTACAACTCACAAATTATCATACAATTATTACTTACAAGTATAACTACTAACTACTTTATATGTACACAATACATTGAGTACTGTTGACAAATACATGTACTCTGTATAAGTTTTCTAACCATGTTTCGATAAAAAAAAAAAAAAAGGTTTTGAAACCAAGTAGTAACTGATTTAGCGGTAATTAAAGATATTAGCATAACTATGTGGTTGTGAATATTGTGATTTCAATCCCCCACTGTAGGCAACTTGAGGGTCGGGCAAGGATATTCCCTTGCCCTCCAAACTGCACACACACTCCCAACTTCCCAAGGAGTGTCGCTTGTAAACTTGGGTCGGGATGACCTATGAGAAATTTCAATCCTGTACGACACATTTTTCCTTACCTTCAAAGTTTCCGAACATAAATGTTCTCTCCATATGTCTTTTTCTTACTTGTTATACGAACAATTTTATAATATCTATAAGTAATTTTCACTCGTACTTGACAATTTTGTTTTTTTCTCACTATGCCGTCTTTAAAAATAGACTTCATGTCGATCTCTTTCCTTAATAATTGAGCAAGTAGTAGTGAATGTAAATACATCAATAAACAGAGGAATTACATTATTTGTTCACAAGAAAATTTAATTACAATTATTCATCAGTATTCTAATATATTGCAACATTATTCATATTCGAATCTAATTACAATTAATCAGTATTCCAATATATTACAACATTCAAAATAATATCTTCAATCACCAGTGTTACCAGCCAACATCATATACTTGTCTTTCCTAGTTAATAATGTGCATGTATATCCTAATGACTTAGCAATTTCAGCTTGCACATAATTAGCAACATCAATATTGGACCAACCACCACTTCCACAAGTATGAGATTTAGGTACATTTTCAAGTATGTTAACATAGTAATAAGGATATGGATTCAAAAGGAAAAATATTGGATCTAATGCTTTGATTCCACTCGCCGTTGTACCATAAAACATGTTAACTTTAACCTCTAAGGCCACCGGAACAATGTCATCAGTCATCTCCGCGAATAAGGGACTAAACCTTAGCAAGTAACGCTCTCTACACGTAGTTCCTTCAGGGCAAACCACAACACTGCCTTTGCTTAACATTTTTTGCATGACTTTCGCGTCTTTCTCCTTGTCCCTTGTTAGGATAACGGTTTTTATTGGGGTGAGAACTTGGCTTAATTTGCTAATGCTATAGGCTAGCGCAGTTAGAGGGACTTTACAAGCGTATGATATGTAGATAGGATCAAGTAACGTTTTGTGGTTACACACGTAAATTTTGCCCTTGGAATTTCTATTTTGGTTGGTTGAGCTATTTAATATTGTTTGTGAATTGGAACAATTTTTTGACGTTAAACCACTTGTTCCAAGGAAGGCTAGTATTGGAAGGGAGATTTTGAAAGGTAAGAAAATTGAGGTTATGATTCTTGTTATGCATAGGATCACGCCGAAGGGTAGCCATATGAGCATGGTCAATGAAGCCATAGGGGTTGGAAAAAATGCTAACCTTCCATCGTGGAATATCAAGGGTTTAGGGTATTTGTCCCTTGGAAGATAATTCCAATTTTCCTTATCAACTTTTCTCACCAAGTAGAAACCCTAGCATAAAAATGTAACATTAGAAAGAGAGTTTGAGTAGCTAATCAAACATTTAAGAGTAGAAAAATATATAGTCATCATTTGTCAACATCTCAATTAGGTGTACCAATACTCCTACATACTTCATCAAATTAAACTACATCATACAGGTAATTCGTAAATTACTTTAGGTTCTATTATAAATTTCATATTTCATGAATTATAAAATAGTATAACTAGTAAATATAATTTCATTCAAGCAACAATTAGGTGAATAAAATAGAACTTTAAGTTAGATCATAATCCAATTATAATTCTAACTAATTAATACGAGTGAGTAGCCCAGTAGAAGTCTTTTAATTTGTACCTTCGACATTTCAATTAATTGAAAGTACAGTGTAACCGAACTAAACTTAAAGTTCCTCAATGAATTGGAATTTTTCATTTTTGGATAATAAAGAGGATAACTCCTCTACCTATATATGCATAAATATTTATGATATATACCTTGAAGGCTTTTAATACTAGCTAGTCTAGATGTGCTAGGCAAAATATCCACCTCTGATTTGTACTGTTTTTGGTTTGATCAAAATTTGACCTTATTTGTACACTACGTTATAGTTATTATTAGATTCGTATTTTGTGTACTTTCCAAACTTGATATTTGTTTTCAAACATTTGTATTTATGTAATTTAGCAACAAACGAACGCTGGTAAAAAACTAGGTCTGGTATATTTGTCCTGGCATGCATGTACTTATTCGATCATTTCGCTGAACTGAACATGGCCTAATATCACATTCATTGCTTCGATCTCATCTGGCATCCTTATTTCTTTACATGTATTTTATCTAAACAACTTAAATATTGAACTTATGAACCTAACTATAAATGAGTAAAGATCAAGTACTGATGGTGGGGCAAAATGTTAAGCATATGCGTAACATAACATACCTTGCAATTTGTAATGAGTTGTTGATCTTTTAATGTTTTCTCACACCCTGAAATAACAATAACGTTTTCCCCCTTGCAAACTAGACTTGTAATTTCCTTAATTTCATCCTTTTTTCTTTCCATCAAACCTAAATAGTACCCTCTATATACCTTAATCTCCCTTCCAACTATTGTATTAATTCCCAAATATTCTTGCAAGAACGCCTCAACCATAACCCTAGGAAAATTAGTTACTCCCACCCTTTTTCGAAACCTCGTGAGCAACTCGAACCCTTGATATCCCACATCTTCCAAGAAGAATTTTGGCAAGACTGTTCTTCCTACTGATTTTAGGGCACTCCTTTTAACCCCAACAAAACACACGAAAACCATTATGTTTAGCTTCCATTCTTCGTCTACCAAGCAAATTAAAGGGTACAAAATGAGCAATAAAAAAGCACGTAAAAGACCACCGCCTTCAAATGCCACCAACATGAAGAAAGGGAACCATGAAGAAGATTTTAGCAAAGTTTCCTCCACATTAAAGACCAAAGTATGGTTTACTAGCTCCTCTAACCGCGAGGATAGACAAGTGTACACATGGACTTTTTGTGACTCTATCTCATGAGAAAAATTAATAGTATTCCTAAACTTCTTACATATATCCAAGAAATATGACGTAGTTGCTACCATTATATTTTGTTGTGGTACCTTATCAGAATCAAATTTAACAATTTTTTTAGTAACTTAAGTTACATAACACGTTGTTTAGGCTTAAATTAATTATACACATATATAAAGGACTATGTAGAGATAGTATACAGCCGTTTTCAAACCTCAAATCTATATCAAACTTTCAAGAGTGAAAATACCTAGCTAGTGTCTACAACTATAGACAAATGGACGCTTGATCTGTCTTAACTTGTGATTAAGACAGTAATTAAGGTCTTTCGTTGGCGAAATTGCACCGTGTAGGCATAGCTCAGCTCGTTGATTTAGGCCACCTAAGACTGCATTTATTAAGGTCTTTGTCCTCAATTATTATTTTTAAGTTATCATAAACTACAAGTTACACAAGTAATTACTCACAATGAACTCGTGGTTATGCACAAAGGGTTCTTATCTTCATGCATGATATTTATAAAGTCTTAAATGTGAGAGAATATAAGAAAAAACCAAATGCACTTATTAAGGATCTAACCAAATCAAATTAAAATTAAGCAACTAATTGTGGGACATTTTGGGGACCTATATTGGGGCCAAAGACGGTTATTCTTGGTCTCCTACCCATGCTAGCTCTAATTAATACCAGTAATTCGTATTTGTTGATATAAAGTATAGCATATCTTTGACATTCCGTTAGATGAGTGTAATAATGGTTGCAATAAGAATAAATTTGTATACTCCTTTCTTTACATAATTTAGGGTCTCGGCTAATTTGCTGAAGTGAGCTGAAATGAACTAAACTGATTGGAGCTGAACTGAATTGAATTGAACTGAACTGAACTGATATTATATGAGAGAAAGAAATTAGTCAAGGTCTATTCTCATGCATGGTAGTGTTACCAGTTTATCTCTTTTACCCTACAATTCTACAAATTTTCATTACCATTAATATATAATTGAATTATCACACGTAAAATCATTCCCGTTACCACAAATTTATTATAACCGGCTATCAAACAGGTTGCGAAGAGGCCTTCCAAAGGGAGGTTAGTTATGTATGAGTAAATGCATAACGAGGGGCATGGAGGTCATTTCACGTAAATGCATTTCTAAATTTAGAGTAGTACCACTGGGTGATCAATTGTATTACTAGATGATTAAATGGTATCATTGAACATTTCAGTGGTACTATTTATGTATGTAGTGGTACTATATATTTATTCAGTGGTACTCACTCCGTGTAGAAATAGTATCACTACAGTAGAAATAGTATCACTAAATTGTCAATAGTACTATGTAAGCTTTTAACGGTACATTTAAAAAGTGGCCCCACTTACCCATCTCTCTCCTCCTTTCTCTCACCCCCATGTGCTTTTTAATATTTTAGTATTTGTTATGCATTTGTAAATGCATAACTAACCTCCCTCTCTACTTCCTCGGTTGCGAATGGATTCATTGGCTTTCAATTGTACAGTTCAACAGTCGCTATTAGTCTATTACTTATTGGTAAGCTCCTTGAACCATCTATCCTTGTCAATGAATGTAACTTAGTAGCATACTCCGTGATAATTAGTGAGACTGCTTACTAATAGAAGTACGTGGATGCTTAACTCTTAGATCGTAAAAAGAAATCGTGAAGTTAGGGTGGTGTGTGAAATATATATTAGTCGAACGGTCCATTTATTTTATGACTTAACTATCAGAAAACGAAATGATCGAGTTAACAGTTCAACTAATTAATTAAGCAACGTGATCATGCATGGGATAGGTATGGTTGATTTGGCTATACATATACTGGCCTGGTTACGTTGGAATGAGCCAAAACTCACCCCCTTGGCCTAGCCTTCCATCGCTTGGGTTCCTATATTTAAACTTGAAACCTTGAGAGTTAACCATTTTAAAATTATATATAACCAAACTCTCAATATATAATACCAAAAAAGTGTTGACTCACTTAGTAAGGTTCTTATCTCAAATCCTAGAGATTTGAGGTTTGGATCCTACCAAGTGAGAGTACTTAGAGGTAGTGATTCCCTTACCCTCCTTTCTACTTTCAAGTATTTGACTCACAAATATTGGATCAAAAAAATCGTGAGGGTGAGGTCTGGTCAAGATCCTCTTTACCAATTTAAAAAAAAAAACAAAAAAATACAGCCAATATGGAATGTCTTTGACCTCATTGATATAGGTAAGGATTCTTTTGCCGCATACCTCATCCATAGGTAGTGATAATCATATAATCTTTTAAGAGTTGTAACTTGAATTCATTTTTAACGTATCATATTGTTATAGTTAGATATTATGAGTGTGATACTGCTGGTTTGATTTGCGTTGGCAGTAGCTTTCTGTTATGGTTGATATAAATATGATGCAGGTGTAAGATGTTAAGATGAGAATGAAATATTGTATTGTTATGGTTGGTAGTTAACTAGTTACGTATGAAGTAGATGTTGTTATTGTTGACAAGTCGATGTTTATGTACTGTTGTCTTAAATACAATGTGAGTTGTGATTTAGTTACTCCGTACTCCTTGTATTGGATGTCAAAAAATTTTGAATAGTCAATCAATATTCAAAATATGCTATAACAAACAACCAACCCCCCCCCCCTCTCCCTCTTTTCCTTTTTTTAATTTTTGTAGGGGGCTTTGATTCGCATAGTGATATAGGTTTAGAATCAGGAATAGGGTTAAGGTGGTATTGAGTTGAAACTTGATACTTAATACCATGTGTTTGGTTCAATTCTGGAATGGAATATCATCCCCTTAATTTTATGTATTTGAACATAATGGAATGGAATGAGCCAAACCCACCCCCCCAAGGTTTCTAAACCTCATACCTCATACCTATAATCCGCGAACCAAACGCTCCCTTATTATTATTTTCACGTACCTGAAGTATATCTTTGGATAATTAAAAGTACAATCTTTAACATTTTTAATATGGAATGCAAAAACATTACCTATTTTCGGATAAATGAACATTGTACATCCGTCCTTACTATCTAATTTGTGCATCATCAATATAATTCATCATACTTTCTAGTACAGTAGCTAAAAACATAGAGGTTTCGGTAATCAATATCGTGTATATCAAATGGCCAGTGCAGGTGTAAGGACATAAGACAAAATGTACAATTGGAACTAAGTAATACGGGAGGAATTGGATGAGAAAATAGAAAAGAGTCGATCCCCATTAATATCCTCTATAAACAAAATTCGTTTATGTAGTGGATATGAACATGTATTTCTTCGAAAAATAGATTTAGTAACATAAAAAGTAATCATATAAAAAAAAAACATAAATATTACTTCGTGCTATGTATAAGCTTGATTGAATGAAGGTGTTTGAAATTTTGAATGACATACAAGTAAAATCTACCAAGTATAAGGAAAACTATAGATAGACATTCATTACATTATGAATAGAAGACAGAACAGGTTCGAAAAGTCAATGATATTAGCTGAGTAGCAAATTTATTGTCAAAGTACACTAGAAGTAACGCAAGTTTTGGTAGCAACAATGAAAAAGCAGTAGTTATGCATTTGGCTCATTAACGAAGCAGTAGTGGACTAGGGTGTTCAAGAGCTAGTGTGGACCAAACAGAAACAGTCTAGTCTTTGGGTCGAGAAATACAATTTTTTGGACCGACTTGATTTTTAATATATATTCCTTGAAAACTATTATTGATCTAATATCAAAAATTTGAATTTATGAGTTTAGAAGAAAAAGATCACTATCGATAATTTAATTATGTGTGCAAAAGCCCAAAGTTCATCATAAAAACATACCGTGATACAAGCTTAACAATTTTACTGCACAAAAGCTTAACAAAAAGAACAAATAACACTAGTTGAACAAAGATGATGACATATGCTTCTACCAAAATAGCAATAAAACTGGCTGAGTAACATGAAATAGCTAACTAATCTGTGAAAAATTGAAAACCAAATGATAGTGGGATAGAACATGGGAGATTTTTATTTTATTTTTTTCAACGTTTTGCAAAAATAAAATCAAAAGTCAATTTCATCAATAGTTCACGTTAGTCAAAAGAAATAAACGGTTGTGATTTGATTTAATACAAAGGCCACAATATCTAAAATTAAAATTAAAATTGCTACTCCATACGACAATTGCATACCATTTACAAATGTGCAGTACAAGTATCATGCTTTTTCTGTCTCACTAATATCTAAGTATTATTATTATTATTATTATTCATTATTCATGTTGATTAATTTGAAAGCCAAAAGGCCAACCAAGGTTTGAAGTGCATAACGAACGGATTACACATGAGTCCATGACTACATGAGTAGTTTTGAATAAAGGAACCAAGAACTTTGATGTTCAGTAGTACGGACTACTTCAGTTCATGTAGATTTTGGGACTCACGAGTATTTCGTGTTGTCATAAATTTACTGACATTGCATTCAGCAATGGACCATCAAGGCATCAACTAGAAATATTCCTCCACATTGTTTGTAACTTGCATTGAGTGAAATTCTAAAGCAACAATTTTATGTGCTTTGTATGTGTAACGTATAGATTTAGGATATATATTTTATATAAGATTATCTTTAAATTTTTACATATTTTATAGTTACCTAATACTTTCTCTGTTTTTTTTACTTGATCTGTTTCTTTTATCACGCTTGCCAATACAAAACTTGAACGATCAATAACTTAAATTCTCCATAAGTTAAAATTATAAAAGTTATATATTATGATAATACTTATTGAGACGAATCCAAAAAGATCATACATGAATATATTTTTTCTTACATAATATTCACAAAAGATGGTTAAATGAAGGGTGGTGAATAGTGTAAAAGTTAAAGCGGGTCAAGTAATAAAGAACGAAGGAAGTATATGATAAGGTTTCTCATTGTAACCCTATAAATATTGATCAATGGAAATCACTCCAATCAAGGAGTTTTATATTCTCTGACATGGTATCATAGCTTAGGTGAGATCTTGGGATCATACAAAAAATTCTCACCCTGCCAACCCACCGGCAAGATATACACAATTTTTTTTATGCTTCTGCGAACACACAAATATACTGCCCTCTAAAAGATGCACAATATCTCAAATACCAAAATAACTAAAAAAAAAGTTGTGTACTAAATATTATACATCTGTTGTAAAGTTATCC